TATTGTAAGCAGTTACTGTTGAAGAGTGATATGTGGCTAGAAAACGTCGTGGTAAAAGAATTTTTGTTTTTTCCGTGAAAAATCTCTCATTTCTCATGAACCAATTCAAAAATCGCCGTTTTTTGTAATCTTTCATCTGAACATTCATAGTTTAAGAAACAAAATAAGTGAACTTGATTCCTTATTACAGTCTCTTGAATATCCGGATGTAGTTTGTTTAACAGAAACTTGGTGTCAAGAAAATGAGATATTAGCTATCAATGTCAATTGTTATACTCTTTCCGATTATTTTTGCCGTAACGATAAAGTTTGTTGAAAATATTCACGATTATATAGTCTTACACACTACCGTTGAAAAATCTCAGGGTACGTTTGAATATGGTGCTGTCGAAATAACCGCTCACAACTCCAGAATCCGCGTTAACTGTTTTTACAGACCTCCATCTTCCAATAGTCTGTCATTCATACATAATATGGAACTATTTCTTGATTCTCTTTTTGAAAAAAATGTTCAAACCTCTTGTATCGTTTGTGGTGACTTTAATTTCAATTTCCATAAGAATTCCACTGATGGCAATGCAAGTTATCTGCGTAATTTATTTGCCTCTTACGGATTGAATCAATGTATTTTCGATTACACAAGAATTCTTCAACCAACAATATAAATTACTTTTGAGACAGCATCGACAAAAGATAGAAACTTTAAAGAAGTCTTACTTCGGCCACAAATTTCATGAAGCTACAAATAAATCTAAGGTTGCCTGGACTATAATCAAACAGAATACCGCATGTGATAAAAAAGCCAATTCTTGCCAAAATATGTTATTGATGAGAATGAATTATCGGTAAACGAGGGAGTTGATATCTCCCAAACATTCAGCGATTACTTCTTCAATGCTGTGCAAAAATTAGTCAGAGAAACATCTCCTATTTTGGTAAATAACTGTTACATCAACTCCAACTCACTTTTTTTATATCCTCTGGATGAAACAGAACTACTCGAGATAGGGAAGTCGATATCTTCTAAGACTTCCAGTGGCGTGGATGAAGTACCTTGCAACCTCTTGTTCAAGGTGGTTGAAAATTTGATCGAACCCCTCTCATACCTCATTAATATCTCCTTAGTCGAAGGTATATTCCCTACTCGACTCAAACATAACTATCCATAAGAAACATGACAAGCATTCGGTTTCCAATTACAGAGGAATTGCGTTACTATATGCATTTTCCAAAATATTCGAGAAAACTTATCAAAGAAGACTACACTTTTTTTGCAAGAAGTATAAAATCATCCCAGACTATCAATATGGCTTCCAAATTGGCAAGTCCACTCAGGATGTAACGATGAATTTAGTTAATGAAGTCATTTCTAATCTCAATAGAGGAGAAAAAACGATGAGTGTTCTATTCGACTTGTCACGAGCTTTCGACACTGTTGAGCACGATTTACTTTTAAGCAAGTTATTTTGTTTAGGAATTCGTGGCTCATCTCTGGATTGGTTAAGATTTTATCTGGATTGCAGAACGCGAACTGAGAGGGTTAAACTGGAGGGTGGGACCTTCCACTCTAGAACCTGTGTCGTCCCCATCGGTGTTCCCCAGAGTAGCGTCCTAGGACCTATTCTCTTTCTTTTACTCGTACATGCCCTCAACAACAGTAATCGTCAACATTGTACAGTACAATTGGCCGACGATTCTTCGTTCACTCTTAAGTCTTCAGATTATGAGGGATTGTCGAGTTAGGCCAATCAAGCAGTTGCTAATATGCAAAAATATTGTTCTCAAAATGGTCCCATTCTGAACAGCTCAAAAACTAATACAATCGTCTTTTCACTACATGAGAATGATTGCAGTGTTCTGGTCGAAATAAATGGCAAGTCAATACAACAAACCTCATCTGTAAAATTTTTAGGTTTGAACATTGATGCTCAACTCTCTTGGAAGAAGCACATTGAATATTTCGAGTAAAATGTCGAAACATTGTTTTGTAATCCGTAATTATCGTAATTTTGTTCCACTGAATATATTGAAGAGTTATTACTATGCTTATATTCAATCTTCATTTAGTTATTGTCTGATCAACTTTGGTAACTGTACAAGAATAAACGAATTACTAATAGCTCAAAAAAAGATAGTGAGAACAATGTGTTTCAAAAAATATGATGACTCATGTAGGGAGCTGTTTACCGATTTGGATATTCTAACTATTATTTCACTATATATATTAAACTGTGTTGTTTATGTCAAAACTCATCTAGACAAATTTGAATCAAGAGGTAATCTTCGGACAGGATATACGTTAACATCTAACTATAATTTTATTGTTCCCCACCATAAATTGACGAAAGCAGCAAACGGCCCTAAAATTATGCCCATCAGGTTATACAACAAACTACCTATCTCTCTTAAACAGCTATCAAACCTGCATTCCTTCAAAAAAATATTAATAAACTGTTACATGACAATACATTTTATTCCCTCAAAGAATACTTCCAGGCTGATTTGGAAATATTAATAACTTGATTGCAACAGTTTAGACTGTACTATTTTCAATTGTCATATTTTTCAGTTTCATGTTTTTTCATACTTCTGTTTGATATTTTCATATCTTTACTCTTTTATTTGTGTATATATAATTATTTGTATTGTGAATTTCAATATTTTAGTTTAATTGACTTTTTCCATGCTGCAGACCATTGCTTCCAAATTATTCAGTTTCAAACCTTTATTTTCTATGTGTAGGATTTTGAACTCTTCGTTGAAGATATGCTTTTTTCTGTAAGATGATTTGAATATGTTGAACTTGTTTTCTTATTTACATAGCTTATATGATGTTCCTGGATTCGATTCCTAAATTTTCTGCCAGTTCGACCAATATATACCTTAGGACACGTTCCACACTTTAATTTATATACTCCTGATTTCTCGAATCTGGATGTTTTGTCTTTATTATTTTTAACTAACTTTCCCACCGTACTACTTGTTCTATATGCAATTTTAATATCTCGTTTTCTCAAAAATGAAGCCACTTTTTCTGTTGTTTGTCCAAAATACGTTAAAGCTCTATAATTTTGGTTATCTAACTTATCAACTTATCAACGATTCGCTTTTGCGTAGAAATTTTTGGCTTTAAATACATTGTTTACTGCAATTTGCTTGATGATATTGAGTTCTTTATTGAAATTATATATTGCAAGAGGAACATTGACTTATCTGTGAATCATGCTATTATAAGCTGCTACTTTGTGTNTTATGCTGGTATGGGTGGGTGGACGAATTATGAATGATAATATCTGTATGTGCCGATAAATTGAAAAATCGTGTTTGTTGTTAACTTTCGCTATTGTCAAATCCAGAAAATGTATAGATTCGTCCTGTTCCATCTCCACTGTGATCTCCACATAGAATAAACTCTATTTATCTGAAACTGAAAACTGAAAAAATTGAAATTTGGGATAATGAAATTAATGCATGAATACTTTATTTCAAGATGAAATTAAATGGAAAGGGAATTTCTTGTGACACATCATTTTGAAGCTCCTGACGAATACTTCACAACCCTAGAATATGAAGTCAATATCTTCTCCTACTACAAAATGGCGGAACATTTGAAAATTTGCTGAAGACAAACACATTAATATCGATATTTCTAGAAATATTCCTTTTTATCTGCCATCTGTCAATTCCAACAACCCAGAAAAAATTAACGTTTGGGCAGAAATATTGGGAAACCATATTGTAGGACCTCTATTTATTGATCAAAATTTAACAGGGGAACTGTATTTGAATATGCTGGAAACTATTGCACTAATGCTGAAAGAATTTTTGTTTGCCAAAAACGCATCCTGAGGCTTATGTTCAGTATGAAATCCGAAGATAGCTGCAAGACTATATTTATTGATATGGTGGTACGTGGTATAGTAAGGAAGCCCTACCACAAATTAAATGAATTTAAAAATTCCCCAATATACAATGCTATCTCACTTTACAATAAATTGCCTAATTCAATTAAGGAGTCCAAATCATATGGAATCTTTGAAAGTAATATGAAATTATTCTTAATAAAAATATGTTTTTATAGTTTAAAATACTATTGGAGTGATATTTGTTCTTAAATTGTAACATTTGTATATTAGGTGCCGTGATTTATGTTTTATCTTCATTCTTTAATTTTTTATTCAAGTATGACTAACTATTGTTTTCATTCTCTGTACCTATGTATAGGTACAGGGTGTAACTAAATAAGTGTAAAACATTTAAGGAAGTGATTCCTCATCGAAAAAAAGATAGGATCTTACATATAAAGAAATTTCATTAGAGCATCCCTTGTTAAGATACAGCCCCTTAAAGGGGGTACATAAAATTTGTATAACAATTTTTTTCACAAGCACTAAACAAGTTACAATATTGAAATTATTCTGACGTTTTGTACTACCAAAAAGACACTTAGCCAGAAACTTATTTGGTTTACCCCATGGTTGTAAGGGGTGGAAAACGCAACATCTAAAATGTATTGCCAATGTAACTTTTTGTCTTATTATTTGTTTACCATTTAAAAATTCATTTCCCATAGCCTGTTTCATTCTAAACTAAAAATGCCTCTTGGGTTTTTTGCCCAAAATAAACCAGTTCGTAGCAAAAAATTATTTTAGGAACAACTACAGATTTACATCGTCATAAATGCCAAAAAAAACGAAACTAATCAATCAAGTAGGTCGCTATTAGCGATAGTGACAATTAAATTGGTATGACGCTGTCAGTTTGTGAATTCTCGAAATTGAATTGATACTAATTGTGTGTTGTTGTTCTGTTCTTAATTTGTTGCTTTAATAATTTACTGGTTATTAAAATGGCATACACAAATGAGGAAATGGCTGATATGCATTACGTTAATTAAAAAAAAATAAATGAAATGGATTATGTGAAATGAGAATTATCGATATTTGACCATCAGCATAAAAAAGAACCAGTTATATTTCCGCAAATAATGAAAATTGTACCTATTACTTTGTGTGATATCACTGCCATCCTTTATGCGATGAATTCTGTTATCATACGTCGCAAAAGTGATCCCGTTGCTCATACATCTTTTTTAGGCAGCTTATCCATGGTAGTTTTCATCAGATTCAGCCTCCTCAGATTTTCCTGAACAAAAATACTCGTTGAATTCAGGTGTTTTTTATTGTTCATCACGCGTCATGGTGATAAAAAATTGGACCAAAACAGCTAACGGACGGCTGTCGGTTATTTATGTTTTTGTTCCGCAGTCAGTGGCGTTTGGATATACTTTTTTCGGTCATGGCTTTCACTTTCATAATCTGATTTATAATTTGCAACACAACAGTAACTGAATTCTTGATAGTATTATCTTGAATACTTACCAAAATATCTAATATTTCCATTCCTAGATATTTGCTCGATATCGTCGATTCGAGATATTATGCCACAGTTTACCTGTTTTAATTCTAAAATATCTTTTTTGAAGTCTGATATGGTTCGATCATATTCGTCACTGACTTTTTTGACTATATTATCCACCACACTCCGTAGATATTCTTTGGTAAAGATGTTTCAACAATCGTGGCTATTTGTTCCAAATATCTGTTCGTGCGAGCCCCATTTTCATTGTGTCCTACATTTTTTACGGCAGATAGAAAACAACAAGAGCATATTCGAAGAAACACTTTCAACTAGTTTGTGGAACGACACAATTGAGTTATCACTTCACAATGTATTTGAAATCAATAAGTATCAGGAGAGATACATCGATGTGACCTACTCATTCGCCATCTTGATAAATTACTTGCTCTATGCTTTAGATGCTGTCTATATTCTCTGACTATGCTTTGACTATCCGGTTATGCCAACCACTTCGGAATAAGCTCTGTCTCTCCGGAAAAATGAATTTTGAATATCCGGGAATGTCAACCACTTCGGAAGCCGTATCCGATCTCAACCATGTTTCAGTCAAGACCATTATGTACGTAATCATCAACCACAATCTCTTTGAAGTCCTGAAACCCTGTGAAAATAGATCTGGTATTCAAATGTCCTATTTTCATTCATGACAAAAGTGTACGAGATAAAAATATAATAGGCCAGGTGTAATAAATGAAGGAATGAACCAAATGCTGATTACCGAAATTATCAATATAATTAATTTTGTTGAATACTTGTAACGAAAATCAAATCATGTGTGATGAAGCAGGTACACAGGAAAAGACCTTTGATGTTGGAATTCAAGTTGATGAACAGGTTTTTCGAAGATCAACAGCTAAACAGACCGTAAATATTATATACCACCGAAAAAGAAATCGTTCTAAAGAAATAGAAAATACAGAAAGTATTGGAAAAAATCACTACTAAGTTTTCCTGAGGACAGTGAGAGTTTGAGTACATCAGACATGACTTCTGTCTGGAAGATAAGTTGAAAACTGGAATTCGAAAAACAATATTAAGCGAAGATCTATTTACGTCATAGAGTAAAATCCGAAATTATGTTTTGCAATCCCAAGGTACTCTTTATTTATTATATGTAGATCTTTTGTCTCAAAAATGCCAGTTACCCAGAATTGATATATACATTACTTTGAAGAAAATCAAATTGAATTGACGATAGCAGCGATTCATAATCTCCAACTATAGGCCCGGTTGCCACCGCTCGAAGCTCGTTTGCCTGGTGTGACGTCAAGATGTACCGCGGGCGATCTCGCTCTCGCTCAGTTGTTAATTGACATATAAACCGAAAAATTTTGTGGGATACTTGGGAGATGATTTACTTTTATAATATATAATTTTCAATAAAAAACTAAACTAGCCTGAATGAGCCCATTCAACCTGAAAAAGAATAGTATGCTGTAATTGAATAACATTGCAAGTCACAACATAATTACAGAGCGAAACAAAGTTTCTAGCCCCTATAAAAAAAAAGAAAGATTTTGCATTGAATTTCAATATACAGTGCATTCCATTTAAAACGAGCCACCCTGAATAACTTTTGGTACAATTATTTTCAGGAAAAATAAAAAAACACGTCAACAATAGTATACAGGGGGATACATTTTGACATATTCATGTTCGATGTTACTTTCCCTATCGCACCCTATATTGTTTCGCATTATCAGATGCTTCGTGATGAGCAGATTTCGATAAAGTATAAAACATATGGTCTGAAGCTTATGATTCGGAAGCTACAAATTATTTGAGTTGAAAACGAGCCAACTTGAATAACTTTTGAAATAATGATTTGCAGTTTTTTGTGCTCTAAGCTTTTTGCTGATTTTTTGTGATAATCGATCCTATGAGACATCAAGGTATACTTCATTCTTAAAAAACTGTTTCATCATAAAATTTAGGTATGATGCACTACTCATGCCGATGAGTGTATAAATGTGATGGAATCAGCCGATACTTGATGAAAATCCATGATGTATTATTGAATTCGCTATACTCACACGTCTGAAGAAGCTATTTGATAGCGAAACACGTGCTGTGTTTTTGTAAAACTGTTCAGTGAAAATCTCACAATAAAATGTTTCTTGAATATAAATTATAAATATGTATGAGGAAAAAATTATAATATAAGATTGTCTGACTTGAAACAAAATGCCTTCCACAATTCCCCTCATTCTGAACCGAATTAAATAACTGAGCGGTTACGGAAGGGGTGATTTCCAATAATTCCACCCACATATTTGGTCACACATGTCGAGATTTGCGGAAGCGGAAGGGTTGCCACACTCAATATCTTCCTATTTTTGCAGATATTTGTGTGTTGGCTTTGACTATGAATAAAGGGTGGTGAACCATTATTACAAACGAGTGACTCACACCAACTGAAAGGGTTGACACACATTTGCACATTTCAGGCTATTCTTGAACAAATTTACGTTTCACACCCTCTATTGATTTTTGAATTCTAGATTATCGGAAAAGTAAAGGTGGATATTGATGAAAAGTAATCAAGATGTTCCTCATGAATTCATTTCAGAACTGTACTTTAATTTCTCATTCGCCGACAGAAAATGCATGATAATAATATAAGGATTACCTATCGAGCTTTAAAAAAACCAATTTTACGGCTTTTCAAAATGTTCGCTTTTGAGACTGATACATTTTCGCATGTCTTCAAACCTATTTTGAAAACAATTCTACTCTTAAGATACTATCTCAAGCAGGTAATTTTGACTCTTATATACGTAGAGATCAATTTGTTTGTGGATTCTGCATCGAATTCTGAATTCAGCCATATAGCACACTTGTAGTTTTACTTGAACACTGATGAGAAAAGGCAATTTTATTGCAAATTATGAAGAGGGCCATGAATAAGTCAAAATAAATGCAATAATACAAGTATAATAAAATTGATCCATCAGCTATAATTGCATTGCCTGCTCAGTTTCATCTAGTTGTGTGTTTCTGTAAAATCGCAGACAATACAAACTAAAATAATGGTTTCAAATTCCAAAAAAAAATTTTACTTTGACCATAACTCAACCAACATGATAATAACGATAACAATTAAAGCTTATTTGAATCATTCTAGTGTTATAACTGTCTCTCGCCACGTAGAATACACATATTGCGTCTTTTTAGTAATTCTCGTTTCGTGGCAGTTGAAAGCGTCTCTCGCGATATGGAAGCACGATACTATTTTTTAAATCTATATTTTTGAAAGTCGCATATAAACTAAGTCTTCAATATATCCCCACAAAAAGAAATCTAGTGGAGTAATATCTGGACTTCGAGCTGGCCATGGTATTGGACATTTATTTCCAATCCATTTCTCATTAAAAGTGTCATCCAAATATTGGGTAACTATTCTATTATTTTGTGGAGGTGCCCCATCTTGCTGAAACCACATATTCGGTCGAGTTTATATTGGTAAATTCTCCAAAAGATTCGGCAACACATGTTGGAGTACCTCTCCCCATTGAGAATTCCTTCGAAAAAATGAGGTCCTATCAATGATTCCGCACCAAACATTAGCCCCCTACACAGACTAAAATCCCGTTTCTTGCATACAATGAGGGTTCACGTCAGACCAATAGTTACAATTATGTTTGTTTATTATACCGTTGTTATGGGAACGGCTTTCATCACTCCATAATATTTTGTTCAGAAACTGATCATCATCATGAATATGGCTGGACAACCATATGAAGTTCAATCTTTTATCAGCATATCCTGAATATGGGAATATATTATAGTTATCAAATTTAAAAATCTGGGTGACCATTCAAAAAAATTGGTATCGGTGTCGCGACGCCCTGACGGATGACGCCTAGTGCTGGATCTCTACGTAAATAAGAGAAGTCTTTTATAATAATAATTACGACATTATGACATTAATATGCATCTATCAGGTTCATATAAATCAACTAGAAGCCCTACAGAGGCGCTTCCTAAAATATATGTCTATTAAACTTGAAGGCACGTATCCTACTGTAGGAATACCCTATTATGAATTGCTTGTAACTCACATTTTTGTAGTCTCGTGGTAAGGCGTAAATATTATTAATTTTTTTTTATTCAAGGTCATAAACAATATCACCACCTGCTCTCAACTGTTACATATGTTGAATTTTTGGGTTCCTAGACGGTCATCTAGGAATAGTGTCACATTTTATCTCGACACTTCGCGTACAAATATAATGAAAAAAATCTCCAATTTATACAATGTGCGATACCTCTCATTTATCAGTCATGTCCTATTCAACTGCCAGATTATACAAATCAAAAGACATTTCTTAGCTGACAGTTCTGTTATGTGAGTACATAATTGTAAATGACACTGTTACTCCCTATTCTGTAATTGGGTTCATCCTGTAGAATAGTGTATGAAATAAATAAATAACTTGAAATTATCTGTTTTCACTAAATATGGATATTCTCTATCATTTTCCAGATATTTGCCGCGTAGTTTTATATGGGACACCCTGTATATGAATCTCTTCATATTAGGCGCTCGTCGAGATTTGACTTTGTTATGAAATTTACTTCTGGGGTAGGCCAAGTTCATGCCAAGCTACGTGTATATACAGAGTTCAAACAAATATCAGAATGATATTCAACATATCCAACGGGATTCCTTTAAAGACACCTTTATTTTTAGTGACTTTCTTACGCTGATGTGTTTATCTATAATTAAAATGTGTTTGTATATTTCAATAAAAAGGATTATTTTCCAAAAACTTTAAAACTACCCAGCCAAATCGTTCATTATGACATCCAACCATTTCGATACAAATTCACTTTCAAATCACCTAATTTACTTACTCCGCGATTGAATAATCTGCCTAAATGTTTAAAAACAATTGATCATATAAACGTATTCAAGAAGGAGCTGAAACTACTTTTGAC